GTCTCAGCTACTCGGGAGGCTGAGGAAGGAGAATCGCTTGAACCCAGGAGGCGGAGGTTGCAGTGAGCCGAGATCACACCACTGCACTCCAGACTAGGCGACAGAGAAAGGCTCCATCTCAAAAATAAAATAAAATAATAAAAAGGAGAGAGAAAAAAATGTAATTTTACTGCTTAAAATGATAAATGCAAAAATGAACAGGCATTGATCTCTAAAATCTCACTCAACCAAGATAAAGGCAAACTACATCCATGTTAATTCTCTGACTGTTCCTATCTACCCCGTATTCATATTTCCTTTAAAATTCACCTGGTCCATTTTCATTTACCACTACAGTCTTAATAATTACATAGACTGGCCGGGCACAGTGGTTCACTCCTGTAACCCCAGCACTTTGGGAGGTCGAGGCAGGCAGATCACGAGGTCAGAAGATGGAGACCATCCTGGCTAACACGGTGAAACCCCGTCTCTATTAAAAATACAAAAACTTAGCCGGGCTTGGTGGCGGGCGCCTGTAGTCCCAGCTACTCGGGAGGCTGAGGCAGGAGAATGGCGTGAATCCGGGAGGCAGAGCTTGCAGTGAGCCGAGATCGTGTCACTGCACTCTAGCCTGGGCGACAGAGCGAGACTCCGTCTCAAAAATAATAATAATAACAATAATAATAATAATAATAAAGACTGTGGGGAAAGGAAAGAAAGAGTGGTGGTAGAAACATTGCTGGCCAAAAGCTGACACATAAAGACTGACAGTGGAGTAGACGTTGGGAAGAGTGTTATTATTTTACATAATGTTGTTTATAAGTAATCTTACAAAATATTTAATTTTAAAATTTTCATTTTGTTATTTATAATTCTTGTAACTTTGAAATATATCAGAATTTTATGTTTACCTTTTGGGTTGTTGGGGTTTTGGTTTTTGATTTTGCAAAACTTCTCCTTACTCTCCTAAGTGTGTTTGCTTCTCTTTAATGCTTCTACTTTTGGAAAGAAAGAAGGGAATGACATTACTTTTACTTTGGCACGTTTACGGCAAAATTCCAAACCCTTCACATGTGATATAGAAGTTTCAAGGATAACATGAAATTCAAATCTGAAAACCAATTTCAGCAAACCATTCCAATAGTTAGCCAAGCTTCATTTTTGCAACATTGTTTTATGTAATCCACGATATACAATTCGATATGTGTTTTCAACAAACGATGTCATTTCCTACATGGTACACATTTGCCTTTTTCACAAATATTTTGGGAAACAAAATGCCTGCCATATCTCAGGTGCATAGTGTTATATAAAAGGAGAAACCCCGTCTCCACTAAAAATACAAAATTAACCGGGCGTGGTGGCGCATGCCTGTAATCCCAGCTACTTGGGAGGCTGAGGCAGGAGAATCGCTTGAACCCGGGAGGCAGAGGTTGTGGTGAGCAGAGATTGCACCATTGCACTCCAGCCTGGGCAATAGTAGTGAAACTCTGTCTCAAAAAAAAAAAAAAAAAAAAAAAATTAAAGTCTGGAACATTTTGGAATTATTTTACTCCTCACGAAGCCTCACCACTGTTCAATCAATTGTTTAGTATGGATGTATTTTCTACATCCCTACTAAAATGTAAACCTATGTAAATGCCTTAAATATAAGCACAGATTTTATTTCAAATGAATGTTGATTTGTTAAAGATTCATTCTAAGAAACTACTGATACTGTTTGCAACTCTCTTTTCAACAACAATAAAATTTAAGAATCTCTTTTTAAGTAAATTTTGATATTCAGCTGTCTTACCTGAAGTGACAGCTGTCATTTATTTGTATGTCTGTATTTCCACCAGAAACTAATAAATAAGCCAACAAGGATATAGTTACCGATGTCATACGGCATTCTAATCCTTATAATCCTATTTTGAATTTGCACAATTTTGTAGGAACATCTTATGAACTAATACATTGAAAAAATTATCCTTTTATGGAGAGTATTCACAATAAAATACACTATCTTTCTCTTTTTCTTTTGAGACAGTCTTGCTGTGTTGCTCAGGCTGGAGTGCAGTGACACAATCACAACTCACTTCTGCCTCAGCCTCCCAAGTAACTGGGACTTCAGGCAGGTGCCATTATGCCTTACTAATTAAAAAAAAAAAAAAATTGTAGAGATGTGGTCTTACTATATTGCCCAGGCTCAAGCAATCCCCCAGCCTTGGCCTCCCAAAGTGCTAGGATCACAGGCTTGAGCCACCACATCTGGTCTTTCTTAAATATAAACATGGTTTGCTATTAATTTCAGGTGTATTCTATTTGTTTAACCTGTTGTAAGTGATTAGATAATTTAACTGTAATTGTAATTATATAATTGTAATTATTAGTAAAGTTCTATCATGAAATTGGCAATCAATCCTTAATTACATTAATTTCTAATGTATTTAATGTCACATATTCTGAAGTTTTTCAATGTTATTTTTGTTGTTATTGTGTTGTAAAAAAGAGTTTCAACAAAAGAACTCTACGCAAGGCTAAATTTGCATTCAACTATACGAATAAGAAAATGTATTTTTAAATGTGCAAGTGTTCAGAGTATAGCATACCCATAAGCTAAATGCAAGATCCTTGAAGAAGTTATTCAACAAAATGAGAAAAGAATAAAAAAACAAAGATTTTAATAATATAAAAGTCATCATATAAAGAAATTGTCTCTGAAATAAAACTACTGAAATAGAAATTGTTTGAATAAATACTAATTTACTACAAAATATAGTAGAAAAATCTTGAAAAAGAAAACGTAGTATAAAATGTATGAAATGATAACATGAACTAAAATTTTAGATTTCATCACCAAAAAAGTAGATATGAAATGAGTGAAGAGATGGAAGAAAAGAAAGGGGGTTGAATTTATTATAATACATGGGTGGCTAATAGTCATTAATATTTTTTAAAAATAATAGTTACACTATATTTACCTAAAAGCATATATCTACAATGAAAACAATGAATAGACTAATAGGGGTTAAAAACAAAATAGTCTAGATTGCCAAAAAAAAAAAAAAAAAAAAAAAAAAAAAACACCGAAAAGAAGGAAAACAACAAGAAACCACTAAAAACAGTACATTATATAAAAAGATAACATAGGATTAAATATTAGTTAACATAAACAAATAGAAAACCTCACATATTTATAGCAAATACTATTAGAAACACAGTATATGCTTTCAACAATATGACGTTGCCAAAATAAATTATGACATACCACATTTTAAAAATCACATTTCAGAAAATAATTGTATTGGAATATTATTTTATAGATATTTAAGAGAAATTAAGATGGGAAAAATAACACTGTGCTTTTATGCTCACCTATGTAAAGACATTGCTCCAGAAATTCTGCCCCTTCTCATATCATTATACTGTCCTGATTTCACTGTTATTCCCAGCACCACATAAGCATGATGTTACTTTTCCCAAGCTAATTTCTACCTCTCTGCATGCTTCAGTGTTCTTAGTGAAGGAAGAATGCCAGTTGTGAAGGAAAGTCACAAGGGAAGGATTCCAAGGATGAGAAAGGAGGGGGTAGGAAAATCTTCCAGGAAAATGAGAGGATGAACATCCAAGGGAAAGGCACTCCTCCTGCTAGGCAGAGCTAAGGGTCTCTTTTTAGGCTTATGGAATGAATTTAAAGTGGGAACAGTCAGTATTGTTGTATGTTTTTTCTCCTGTCATGCTCAGTTCCATGGGTTTTGGAATACAAGAGAAAGAGGAAGTGATCTGGAAAGATAGGAGATAGTGATCCATGAGCAAAGTGCTTTAAATTGAGATGATAGAGAGGTTGCATTGATTCATATCTTCTGTGAAGAGAGAAAATTATACCCCTGTGAGTCACAATAAAGACTTCATGCTTACACTTCATAAAATACAGTGAACAGACTGATTCAAAGTCATCTGTTCGTTTTTTCCATGGATGTTATTGAAAATCTATATAGGTGAATCCCGTGGCCCCAGACCCTGGTATTATGATGCTTATTTTGAGGGTAGGAAATAAATATTAATAATCAATCATTCTAATTGAGACATGCAACTTTTTATTATATTCTATTTCAGGAAGACTTAACCTAATCTTGTAGAGAGCTTGGTCAGTGGAGGCTTAATTGGAGGAAAGGGTATTTAGCAGGGACTTGAAGAATGAAAAGGGTAAGCTGGTTGCTGGTATAGTGGTAAACAGAGAAAACTGCCTGTGCAAAGATGCTGAGTGCATCAGAAGAAATGAAAGATGGTGATTATGAGTGGAACAAAAAGATTCACAGAGTGAGGAGCAGCTAGCACAAGATGAGGCTGGAGGGAAACAGGTAGGAGCCAGGCCATGTAGTGATATGACTACTAAGAAGATGGCCTTTCCAACGGGGGCAATGGAATGCCTGCAGACAGGAACATTTCAAGTTTACAGTTTTAAAGTTTTGATTGACTAGATCAGAGGTGTGCAAGAGAGAAAGAGAGACAGAGAACACTGAAAGAGGGGAATTTATTTATTTATTTATAGAGACAAGGTCTCACTTTGTCACCCTGGCTGGAGGGCAGTAGCATGTTCATAGCTCACTGCAGTCAGTCTCTAACTCCTGGACTCAAGGGATAGGAGGGACCTTTTTGATGGAGGAGGAGAGTTCAAAAGGTATTTTTCTATATACTGAATTTGAAGTTACTGAGACATCTAAATGTCTATGTCAAGTACATAAATATCAAAGTCCAAATCATTTGCTAAGAATAAGGGGGAAGGAAGGAAAGGGATTAGGTCTTTGTGGATAGAGAGTAAAATTCCGAAGTAGTTATGAGAAAGCTACATGAGTTAAGACCGGTGCTGAGGAGCTACAGCATAAAAATAAAACTATTATTCCAATAGGTTATTTAAGCCAATAAGAAATATAGACAGTTATGGCCTTTCAATGAAACGCATTGGGGATTTTAAGATGGAACAGTTTGGGGTGAGAAAAGGTACGAGACACACCCATGGAAGTGAGAATGTGCGGTAGATGGGAGAACACCATTTGAGACAAGTGGTCAAGGCATTAATAGCCTGCATGGTTCACATGATCTGGCCCGGGGGTGAGTAGGTGAGCAACTTCTGCTTGAGAATGCTGCAGGAGGAGGTCTGGTTAAGGCAAATATGTGGAAGAAGCCGAGACTATGTAAGAATTTCCTGATCATAGATCAGGAATACCAAATAGTACAGTGAAAGGGGTTAGGGGACTCTAAGAGGAGTAAGAAACTGGATCAGTGGAGAGGAGCCCCAGGGCATTACGAGAAACACTTGGGAGTGGTTGGATGAATATAGGTTTGAGAATAGCAGGAATACCAAGCAGATTTTTATCCCAGTAGACTCTAGGGGGTGGTGGGCTCTCAGTTCCCCAGGGCTGCTGAAGTCTGGAAAGGGTGCCTGGTTCTTTGTGATACGGCAGGGAGCATGCTTTCTTGATCTCTTGGGGTGACAGCTGTGGGAAGCTCCTGGGAAGCTTTTCTTGTATTAAATTGCATTATCCAACAAATTTAATTGTAATTTAATTCTCTAAAAAAGTTAACAGTTTTCTGGAAAAGAAGAAAGATTAACAACTTTTAGTTACGATTGGGAGTATGAGTCACTCCATCCCCAAGGACCACCCCTGTGTCCTGTGGGCAGATCTAAAAAACAAACTCTCTAATGTAAAGTATGAAATTTCATTTTCTGCTACTTGAATTCATTTAACTTTGGATAAAGTGGTATGTACCTCCACCATAAATGGAGACTCTTCAGCTGAGGTATTTACAGTCTTCCATTAACCAATTCTTTTATTGCAAGTTGTTTTCGATAAAAGTCAATTTGTGCAATCCATTTTGGCCAAATGAATCATGTGCATACTCTCATAAATTGTGTCTATATCACGAAAGCAATGACTAAACACTTCAAAATCACTTTACATAATGTGAGTTTTTCCACTCTGGATATGAAAAGTTATAAGAGTTAGGATGTTAGATAACTGCTAACCTGTGTGCAGAAGGTGCCAAACAAAGGCCATACTCTGAGCTTCTCAAGGGAAGCAGCAACAAAAAAAACTTCAGCCAGATGTTTATTACTTAACTGAACTTCTGCCCGAAACCTATGCCTCATTTGTACCTTAGCCAATAGGTTGGGACAATTTAGAGCCTTATCTCACAGTATGTACAAACATCAACTCAAAATCAACTAAAGACTTAAGACCTGAAACTGTAAAACTACTAGAAGAAAATATAGAGGGAAAGCTCTATGACATTGGTCATGGCAATAATTTTGTATATGGCCCCAAAAGCACAGACAACAAAAGCAAAAATAGTCAAATTGGATTACATCAAACTAAAAAGCTTCTGTGCAGCCAAGGAAATAATCAACAGAGTAAAGACACAAGCTACTGAATGAGAAAAAATATTTGCAAACAGTATGTCTGATAAAGGGTTAATACCCAAAATACATAAGGAATTCAGTAATTCAATAGCAAGAAAACAAAAAACCCAATTTAAAAATGGGCAAAGGTCCTAAATAGACATTTCTCAAAAGAAGATTTGCAGAGGGACAACAGGTATTTGAAAAAAATGCTCAACATCACTAATCAGGGAAATGCAAATTAAAACCACAGTGAGCTATCACTTAACACTTGTTAGAATGATTATTATCAAAAAGACAAAAGAGAAGTTTTGACAAAGATGTGGAGAAAAAGGAACTTTTGTATCCTGTTGGTGAGAGTGTAAATTAGTGCCACCATTGTGGAAAACAGTATAGAGGTTCCCAAAAAAAAAACTAAAAATAGAATTACCATGGGATGCAGCAATCCCACTCCTGGTATACTTATATAAAAGAATTGGAATTGTTATGTTGAAGAGATATCTGCACTCCCATATTCATTGTAGCGTTATTCACAATAGCCAAGACATGGAAACCACTGAAGTAGCCATCAATGGTTGAACAGATTTTTTTAATGCCATATATTCACAATGGAATACTATCCAGCCTTAAAAAAAAAAAAAAAGTAAATACTGGCATTTGTGACAATATGGATGAATCTAGAGGACATTATGTTGACTGAAACAAGCCAGGCACAGAAAGGCAAAGACCACATAATCTCACCTATATGTGGAATACAAAATAGCCAAACTCATAGAAGTAGAGAGCAGAATGATGAGTACCAGAGGCTGGGGTTTGGGGAATGGTGGAGATGTTAGTGAAAGGATACAAATTTTCACTTAAAGAGGAGGAATAAATTCAAGAGACCTGTTGTACACTATGGTGACTATAGTTAATGACAATATATTTTATACTTGAAAATTATGGGAGTCAATTTTGTGTTCTAACCACGAAAAAGATAAGTATGTGAGATAATGCATGTTAATTAGCTTGATTTAGCCATTTCACAATATGTGCATATATCTTAACACTATGCTGTACACCACAAACAGAATTTTTGTCTATTTGAACAAGTTTTTAAATTTTTAATTTATTAAGATATGAAAGTCATGCAGGATGCTGAATAATTCTTTCTTGTGCAGACTGCCCTAAATATTGCAGAACATCTAGCATCCTTCATTCTTTCTCATTAAATGAGACAGGACTGTAACACCTGAAAATATGTAACCACTGATCTAATGACATTACTTCTTCCTCCATGGTTTAAGTCAGTGTGACATATCTGTAGTAGCCCCGATTGGCCACTGGTTCTCTAAATTCCTCTTTAAGGAGCTAGAGAGTGGAGCTTGTAACAATTTATATGCATATGTATAGCAGGTGGCATAACAAGTATGAAAGAGTAATATTTTTAGATATTTACCAATATGATCCCTTTTTCTTTCTTCCTCCTTGGAGTTGACTCCATCCCTTTCTTCTTCCGCTTCCCACAGTCAAAGTAGCTGGATTTTCCATGATTATTTTCTCAGGGGAGGAATATAAGAGAGGAAAACAAGAGTTTCTTCTTGGTCTTTTTGTTTCAAAAGCCTGTGCTCATTGAGGCATGGAGAGGACGTAGTCAAATTGAGGAAGAACTTCATGCCACTTCAATTCCTATGAGACTATAAGTTGCTGTAGACTGGATGGTAGGGGAGTTGAGTGCAGGATTAGAAGGCTGGCCACGAATAAATCATATGGTCAGGAATGAGGGATTATAAAGCAAAGGATCCTGCTGAAGGAGCATTTTATCCAAGGACCTGGCAGTAGGCAGAAGAGTGGGAGTGTCCTTCCCACTCTTCCAAGCATCCTGCCCATCACCCATTCCTAGCAGTTACGCTTCCGGCTGATTAGAGGGCTTCCCTCAGATCACAGCCAAATCTAAACTGAGTTACGCATCACCCAACATGCAATGCTGTCTACTTATCCTGTACTGCTGCTTGGACCTCTACTGATACATTCCAACCACCACCAACTGACTTGCATTCCTTAAGATTAGACACATAATAGAATTAAAGTTAGGGAAAGTCACTGTAACTGATTTCAGATGAGGATGCCGTTGAAGATCTTCCTGAGCTGCTGGATCATCTAACACATTTATTTTATGCCAGCAAAGTTGGAGCCAACTCCAGTGTGATGTCCCCTCAAACTCACTTAGACACAAACCAAGATGCACTCCTCATTCTCCTTTTGGCAAAGAAAATGACTTGGCTATTCAAGGATGAGGTAGTTGCACTGTTCCTTTACTGGCATAGTGAGTGTATCCGTCTGGTCAGGCTGCCATGACAAAATACTTTACCACAAACTGGATGGCTGAAACAATAGTCATTTATTTTCTTGCAGTCCTAGAGGCTACAAGTCCAAGGAGCAAGGTAGCAGGAGGGTTGGTTTCAGGGTGGGCCTTTCCTCTTGGCTTGCAGACTGCCGCCGCCTCCCTGTGTCCTCACGTGGCCTTTCCTCTGTGCTTGTGCAGAGAAATAGACTCCTGGTGTCTCTTCCTGTTCTTAAAGACAAAGGACATCAGTTCTAATGGATTCATGCTCCAACTTGAGACCTCATTTAACCTCAATTACCTCCTTAAAAGCCCTATTTCCAATTATAATCACAATGGGGGTTAGGGCCTCAACATATGAATTTAGGGGAGAGGGAACACAATTCAGTTCATAGAACTAAGTATTAGGTTTAGGTTCAGGAAGGGAGCTGACAGCCCACACATATGTATCATCCAGTCTCTGTCTTTCCCTTGGTCTTACTCTCCCTGTTTCTCTCTGTCTTTGTATCGCTGTCTGTCTCTAGTTCCATCCTCTTTGTATCTCTTCCTATTTTTTATTTTCTTTCTTATCTGCACTACAGTACCAGGAAGGATCCATAGCTCCTGAAATTTTGGTTAAAAAAATGCAAAATTCAAGAGCCTAAAAAATTGGTTTTCTTACTACCCAGAAGACACTGGATCTGTAATATTTCTATTCAGTTCCAAAAATCTCCTCTTCTTTGCAGCTACTTGAAGTCAGATGCGTACTATAAGCAGACAATGGCAACATCAGATGTTAATTCTTTTTTTTTTTTTTTTTTTTTTTTTTTTTGAGACGGAGTCTCGCTCTGTCGCCCAGGCTGGAGTGCAGTGGCCAGATCTCAGCTCACTGCAAGCTCCGCCTCCCGGGTTTACGCCATTCTCCTGCCTCAGCCTCTGGAGTAGCTGGGACTACAGGCGCCCGCCACCTCGCCCGGCTAGTTTTTTGTATTTTTAGTAGAGACGGGGTTTCACCGTGTTAGCCAGGATGGTCTCGATCTCCTGACCTCGTGATCCTCCCGTCTCGGCCTCCCACAGTGCTGGGATTACAGGCTTGAGCCACCGCGCCCGGCCAGATGTTAATTCTTATCTGTGGCATATTTCACCATATTATGTTGTTGCTTTTCTCCAGCATTACAAAAAATGTTTCAGATACCAGTACCTGAGAACAATGTTGGTCACATGTCCAACTGTATTTTATTATCCAGTTCAGAACATTTCGTCTTTCTGTTCTGAATCACAAAGTGACCTTACCAGTTAACCTCCTATTATTGACACAAAATCTTAACAACTTCCAGAGCTATGGCTGTGTCTACACATGTGGCAAAATTGAACATCACTGAACTTGATCTAATTCACTTGCTATAAATC